CTAGTGTTGTTGAAAAAAATGTATTCATTGAAATAAAACCATCAATATTTGTTTTTATGTTATTTAATTCATCAATACTTATAACTTGTCCTCGATAGACAGTCATTAATGGTTTTAATGTTGATACGGATTGTGAATGAAGTATGGACAATTGTTCATGTAAATCGGTTATAAAAAAACGAAATTTTAATATATAATCAATATGAGGTTCTTCAGATACTGCAAGGTCAAAACATGTGTGAAGAAGAAGCAGAGAAAAATGTCCAGATGATCTGATATTTATTTTAAAGAAATTTTGATTAATGTGAGACTGTTTTTCATGAAAGTTCACGATTAGTTCATACATTTTTCAGCTCTTTTATATAGTACATCTGCAGATGAGTCTCTGGCATTTTACGCTGACAACAGATGAGCCTTAATCAAAGAACATGCTAAAATTATATGAGGTGGTTTAATACGACTAAAGACTAGAGACATAAACTATAATTTAGTTCAGTAAATGAATTTAGTGGTTTCACAAAAATGATCTGTTTCAGATTCAAATAGTGCCGCATATTTTTTTAATTATGCTCTATTTAATGGCACAAAAAATTGTAACAAGCGTGGTTGGTCCCCTAAAAAAGATCAAAAAATAAAATTGTTCTGAAAAGCATCATATTTCAGGAAGAGTTCATTTTTTTTGCAAAGCACACAAAGCAAGCAACACTTGAAATATAAATCAGACATATTCTGGATCTAGTCTCTCTAAGCTGTTGATTAATAAAAAGAATTTTTCGTTCGAATCTCTGTTTTCGTTGTAAGAATACTATTTTCCGAACCAGTCGCTTTCTCAAACAAGTATCAGAAGTATAGTGAAATAGCACCTTTTATCTGGTCTTAGAAACATTTTATGTTGTTAATGATATTTATTGGAATTGATCCACTTGCCGATGAGGTACATTCTTAAAGAATATTATTTTATAATGAAATTATGTATGAAAAATCTCGCACTATTAATGGGTGCGTCAGAAATAATGGCACATTTTGTATTTCGTGAATATCTCGTTTAGCTTTGATCATGGAGAGTTGAGGTTACACTGAAAAGATACCCCGTTGAATTCTCTACAATGTCTGTATCAAACGTTTTTCTGTACAAAGTGAAACAAAAATATGAATACAAGAATACTCAACACGTTCAGAAGGACGAACTGCCTCAGCTTAAAAATCATTTTTTTTTCAGACTTTTTATTTAGCTAGTGACCACAAAAATAAAATAATATAGGCATCTGGTAACTCTTGAAAAGCTCTATTGATCAATTATAATCTGAAAATTTGCATGCTCAATCTTACGACACACACCAATCATCTTCTTTTCCAGATTTTTGAGAAATTAGCTGTTTTAATCAGCGATTTCGGAGCTCCTGGGAAAAGAGGCATAACTACGTCAAAATAGCATCTTTTAGGTTCCGATTTTCTCTGTTTTGATGGAAAATGGCTACTGTACCAGATGCAGAGGCGAAAGTTGAGCAAAAATTTTGTTCTTTAATTCATCTGGCGAAAAATATCAGATTTGAGCCATTTTTTAATAGGATTTTGAAAAGTAAGAATTTTCGATTTTCACTTTGCAACGAACTTTGAGCTTCGTGACGAGATCAAAAATATCTTCGTTCCTCTTTTTTTTTGCTTTTCAAATTCTAAAAAATATGACAAATATTATTTAAAAAATGGGTTAGGAAGTTGGTCCTTCTGAACGTGTTGAGTATTCTTGTATTCATATTTTTGTTTCACTTTGTACAGAAAAACGTTTGATACAGACATTGTAGAGAATTCAACGGGGTATCTTCTTGAGTCTAATCTCAACTCTCCCCGATCAAAACTAAGCGAAATATTCATGAAATACAAAGTGTGCTATTATTTCTGACACACCCGTTATAACTGAAAATTGTGTTTCGATAGAAATCAAAAGTAAAAACACTAAAAATATGATACTTTGAGTTCTATGCTCTTATTTTTCTTTATTAAATTTTAGTCGATTGTGTATGGTGAAGATACATGTTATATTCGAGTTATCCGTATTCACAGTATTCATTTATATTCTCTTACAACTGAATTATTACCTAAAAAATTTGTTCCATTGAGAATAATACCATCAGATTCTGAGAAAAATCCTATTTTATTTTGTGATGTTCTAAGTTTATTGACATTTACATGGTCATTATCCAATATACGTGTAGCTAATCTAAGACCAATTATTGGAAATGTTTCATTATCTTTAGCTCGTACATTTGCCATGAATTTAGAAACACTTTCACCTGGTCGTTTAACAATTGATATACGTTTAACAACGACAAAAGATCAATTATTAACAACAAATGAATTACATGATTCAATTGATTTAACAATAATTGAACAATTTAAAATTGATAATTTTGGTGAAACACAAACAATTTTATTAAGTCCTAATTCTCGTCTATCATTAAATTATATACCTAATGATGTTGAATTAGAATTAAAAACATCATCAATTGTTAAATTAAGAGCAATAGATAATAGTTTAGAAGCAAATTCAATGATAGGTGAAACAATATTGTATTTAAAATATCGAAATAAAAATAGCAAAACAACATCAAAATCATCGATTGTTGGCGCTTATCTAGTGCAAGTAAAACCGATTCATTATATGTTATTACGAAGTTTTTTACCCGTCGAAACAGCATCACTATTATCTGCTGTACCCGTTGATTATAAACTTCCATTAATAATTAGTTATCATGATGAATTTGGAAGAAAGTATGTGTTCAATCGAAAATTTTTTTCTTTTAATATTTATACTATAATCGATTTCAGAGGTGCAGAATCTGCCTGTGAAATTGGAAAATTTCCTTCGACAATAAGTTTTTTCTAAAACTCCCCCGAAATAATCCATGAACAGAATTTCTTTTTTTTTGCAATATATTTGCAAAAAGATGTTCCAATTTTTCAAAAAAATTTCCTAAATCAATAAGTGGGGCGGCCCCGGGGGGGGGGGGGGGGGGGGGGGGGGGGGGGGGGGGGGGGGGGGGGGGGGGGGGGTGGGGGGTGGGTGTGGGTGTG